TTTATGTGTTCCACTGCAGATACGCGACCAGCTCAAGAGAGTGAACTTCACTACAAAGAACGGTTTTCAGGTCTCGTTTGATTCCAGTGGAGATCCTGTTGCCGTCTACGAGCTCATTAACTGGCAGTTTAATAAAGATGGTGGTTTGGATTTTGTGACTGTTGGCCGCTATGACTCATCCAGACCAAGAGGTCAGGAGTTCAGTATGAGCAGAGCTATCATCTGGATGAGGGAACAGACCGAGGTACAGTATAACATTTTCAGTACCCTTTGACTGTAAACCCAGGTCAGTTAGCAAATCTCAAAATAATTAAAGCAGCCAGTTGTATAAACTGTTTTCTAAACTGTTTTAAAACGTTTTTTAAAAAGGGCCTTCCATAAAAGCAAGTTACTACCATGAAATTAAATGAAAAGATTGTAATTAAAATAAATAAATAAAATAAAATAAAATAAAAACAGGTTTAGCGCTTTTATACATACCAAATTGATGAAACTCAAAATATTTACTTCCCTCTCTTACTATCGAAGCCAAGATCATTTTACAGTAATTACAGTAATTAAAATTATGACATAACTGATAACACTGCAATTCGGTGGAAACTAGTTGCCTTAAATAAATTCAATACCTCTAACTAAAAAAAAAGTGTTTAGAATATTCCAATTACATTCATTTTGTCATTTGCTGTAAACACTTGGATTGTGGCAGCACTACATGAGCACTGGAATTAAAGATCTCTGAACTGCTCCTTCTACAACAAATAACACACTACAAAACAATGAGTATCACAGAGGATGTCATCGCAATTGTGGGGTAATTGCCTTATTAAATAGATGAGAAATCAACTTGTTTACCTCTAAAGTAGTAATACAAGCTGGGCTTAAAAAGTGTTCTGTAAATGAACAGACAAACAAACAAACAAACATCATGAATCATAAATATTTCTAACGTAAATCTAAACCCAATCACAAAGATGACATGGAATAACAGACAACATTTAATGATAACTGATGAAAAATGTGAAAAATTACAAGAAACCAGTAAAAGCATGAATTGCTTTTTAAGAAATCATATGACATCAGGTGAAAAATTCATTTAAACATCATTAGGTTCAATTAATCTATCATGGATGGTTCTTTTTACTAAAACCTTCAAAACGAAATCTAGCGAATCAAAAATTAGCAACCATTAAAGAAAAAGAAAAGAAATTTAATAGAAGATGTTGCATTTATTTCACAAATTCTTCACTCAATCTAATGTATTTCAAGTTTATCAATAAAGACGATGAGAAAAACAATCATCAGTACATAACACCGTGAATGTCAGACTTTTTTTTGACAACCGTTAAATGATTGCATTTGTCTGTTTGTGTGCTTATGTCTGTGTGAGTAGGTGCTATAACCAATTGTGTACCTATATAACAGTAGTAAAGACTGCAATGGTAAACTGTAGCACAAAACACCATCATGGATAGGATAATAAATATCTTTAAATAATATCTAAACCTACAATTTAAAGTAAGTATAATTTAACCTCAGGTTAAAATTATGGGTCCATGACTACTTAAAATTGAAAAATAAGAGATATTTATCACAAACCAGAAAACCCATTTAATGTCACTTTGGTTCTTTCCATGTGATATCAGTGAATGATTTGCATCTGTCTCATATTTGTCAGGTGCCAAGATCTGTGTGCAGTGAGAGCTGTCCTCCAGGAACCAGGAAGGCTGTGCAGAAAGGAAAGCCAGTCTGCTGCTATGACTGTATACCATGTGGAGAAGGAGAGATCAGCAACAAGACAGGTTGGGTATCACTATTCGGTGTGCAGTTTTGCTCGCGACAATGATTAAACAATGTTTAGTTGATTTCAGTCACTTGTGTTTTTTGCCCCCAATTTAAATGTTCTGAATATGCTTTCTAACTTCTTAGACTCTTTGAACTGTATTCGCTGCCCTCCTGAGTTCTGGCCCAACACCCACCGAGACAGCTGCCTCCCCAAGCCTGTGGAGTTTCTTTCCTGGGATGACACTCTGAGCATCATCCTGACAGCATTCTCCATCACTGGGGCCTTCATAGCTTTGTGTGTGACTGCTGTCTTCTACAAACACAGAGCTTCTCCTATCGTCCGAGCCAACAACTCAGAGCTGAGCTTCCTGCTGCTCTTCTCACTGACTCTGTGTTTCCTCTGCTCACTTACTTTCATTGGTCAGCCCTCTGAGTGGTCCTGTATGCTGCGTCACACAGCATTTGGGATCACCTTCGTCCTCTGCATCTCCTGTGTTCTGGGGAAAACAATAGTGGTGTTAATGGCCTTCAGAGCTACACTTCCAGGCAGTAATGCCATGAAATGGTTTGGGCCTCCACAGCAGAGACTCAGTGTTCTTGGTTTCACTCTCATACAGGTCCTTATTTGTGTGCTTTGGTTGACAATATCTCCTCCTCTCCCCTTTAAAAATTTTAAGCAATACAAGGAAAGGATAATCCTGGAATGTGGATTAGGTTCAGCTATAGGTTTCTGGGCTGTGCTGGGTTATATAGGATTTCTGGCTCTTTTGTGTTTTATTTTGGCTTTTCTAGCACGGAAGCTGCCTGATAACTTTAATGAAGCCAAGTTCATCACATTCAGCATGCTCATATTCTGTGCAGTGTGGATCACCTTTATCCCAGCCTATGCAAGCTCTCCTGGTAAATTCACTGTAGCTGTAGAGATATTTGCTATTCTGGCCTCAAGCTTTGGTTTGTTTACTTGCATTTTTGCTCCCAAATGTTTCATAATCATGTTTAGGCCAGAGCAGAATACCAAGAAACACCTTATGGGTAAAGTTCCCTCCAAGTCTCTCTGAGACTCTCACCCAAATTGTAAAAAAAAGCACAACTGTTTAGCACCTTTTAAAATTATCCTGATTTATTGAGAGGCATATACATACCATTCCATGAGCTCTTCCAATGTTTATTCATAATTAAACTATATGTTCTGTTTTATTTATATATATATATATATATATATATATATATATATATATATATATATATATATATTACTCATTAAAAATATTCTACTTACATCATAACAGATAACAATATATATTGCCAAATTAAAGTGATTTTTCCAATAACATGACTTTCTTCACTTTTATATACTAATTCTACATCAAAATGACATCCTTATTATTGTTTTGAGAATGTATGGCTTTAAAATGTAACATAACACAGGTAATGGTAAGCTTGTATCTAATGGAGGTTTGGTGGTAGGATGGTCCTCTCTTTCTTATCATCATTCAGTGTGATGCTATTCTTTGCATCATCTGTTAGCTGAGGCACCGGAATCGGTAACTTGCATTCTTTTGAGTGTGTTGGACTGTCCAATGACATTAGCAGAGACTCTGCTTCATGTTTCTCCAATAAGCGCAAAAAAACACTGGGTACATCTGAACAAATATGCTTTTTTCTAAATTTTCATACTCGTCATTGTTACCTAAGAAATAAGAAAAGGCCTGACCTACCTGTTCAGTGAGATCCAGCAGTGTGCAGTCAGTGAACTGTGAACACATTCTGCTATATTACAGGAGAAGTGTCTTAGTCTGCTGGTGGATGTGATTTCAGAGCATCAGACGTAACTGAATAAGCAGTTACTGTTGTCCTCTGATGTTCTTGAACTGTCCCAGGACATTGCATTTAGAACGGTTAGAAAAGACATGGCTTTATTTGGCTGGAAGCACATGAGGGTTGGGCCTTCTCATGGTAATGTGACCCGTTAAAAAAAAATGCAAATATAACAGCACATTGACTAATCGTTAAAATAATCCCACAGGAAGGGGTGTTTGTGTGCAATGAGAAATTAGTGTGGTAATAGGAAATATTTAAAGTGTTAATTCTTATTCATGTTCGATACATTATTTTCTTTATGTCTGTGGCAGCTAGCTAGAAGGGAGGATTTGGGGTTAAAGTCTATTGACCTTTATCAAAGGACCTGTGGGTACCTGTAAAAAACCTGATCTGCTGTCTTTGGGTATTGGCTTATATACTGGATTGAAAAAAACTATCGATGATCGATTGCTCATGCCTGTGTCAGCCAAGAGGCGGCGCTCTCGCTGTGCCTCTCTTCATTCGCTATAAAAACAGAGAAGAGAAAGCACAATGGATAGTTTGTCCTTTAATTATGTCCCCCTTTACAGGTAAAAACACACAAACCATAAACATTTCTTTCTAAGAACAAGTTGAATCCAGTATATAGCCTTACTTAATGTGTGTTCTGTGATGGAAAAGCGTTTTGTACGTAGTTAAATATGTTTGTTGTTGTGAGCGGTGAAGTGGCTAAGCGAATAAACCTCCCATAGTTAGCAAAAGACCACGAGGCACACTGCGTGCTGCGTCTGAGTAAAACAGTGTGTGCGAATGCCGAATATGGTTGGTTAAAAAGTAGTAACCTACATACTTCTGAATGTCAGATTGCAATGGTTGAAACATAGTACTTTACACATTATTGTAGTAGTATTCTGGTTTATAAGAGTTGAATGTAAATGGTTTAGAGGAAAAATAACAATTGACATGTTAAGCCAATCTTTCCTATGACGAGCTTGCCTGTTTTTGTTATGTTTATGTTTTCGTTGATTTCATGATGAAAAGATAAAGAAAGTATGAATGGAAAATACTGAATTTGGCACATTTGTCATTCGAAAGTATGTAAGCATAAACTAGATGTACATCTTATACGACAACGGAGAGTTTGTCCTTTAATTATCTTCCCTTTTACAGGGCTACTACAATTTTGCACGCACCGCTGGGATGTGCGTAAGAGTTGGCTAAGTCCATACCAGGCAGCAGTCTTCCTTGTCACGCACACCCTTTATAAACACCCAAGCCAGCAGCAGAGTGGGGTAGGAGACTTAGGTGGAGGTGAAGTAGGCAGCTGACGGAGCAGTGCATGCACTTGAGGTACAGGGTGTGCTAGTGGCAGCAAAGTCTGGTCAGTATTAAAGTCACTACTCACTCACACTGCAAAAATGGATGCACTAATGGAGACTCGAGAGGAAATTGCTGAAATATTGTGCACATTATCCAGAGAGAAGCTCATAGTACTCAGTAGCTTCCTCGGCATTCATAGTGAAGGCCTAGCAAGCAGTACACGCCTCTCCCTCATATCCCTGATTAGTAATCATCTTGTGAGGAAGGAGCTAGGGGACTTAGAGGACTGTGGCTTGGCTGAGCTCTTAAGTATTTGGGAAAAGTTGAACGAATTGGTGGCTGCTCCTATTATGAACACTGCTGAAGGAGAGTCAATGAGTAGCGAAAAAGAGAAACTCAAACAAGAAATCAGTACATTACAGCAAATATTGAAACAAACAGAGTGAAATAGCTACTCTCTCCAATTATGACAGCAACTCTCCAGCAGATATGAATGCAATACAAATGGCTTCTGAAGTTAATCCTGCCAACTCTCAGTACATAGAACTGAGACAAATCCTCCAGCCAGTGTGGCATAGAGACTTTAAGATATCTGGCCAAAAGGATAGATTATCATTCTCCAGTCTTGCTCGTCAGATTGAAACCGGACTGAATATGGGCTATTCAGAGCAGGAAATTATTGATGCAGTAATCTGAGCAATCACACCAGGGCTTCAGTTGCGCAGCTACTTAGAGGGGAAAACAGATTTGACTTTGCCCACTCTCAGACAAATTCTTCGGTCTCACTATCAAGAGAAAGGGGCAACAGAATTACATGAACATCTCACTACCGAAGCGCAGCGCAGTAAAGAGTCACCATAAAGCTTTCTAATATGCACGCTGAACTTAAGGCAGAAAATTCTGTTGGCCTCTGAAGAAGCTGAGTCTGGACTAAAATATGATCCTGCCCTTGTTCAAAGCATGTTCCTACATGCTGTTCTCAATGGGTTGCAGAGTGACCGTATTCAGCATGATCTTCAGCCATACCTCTTAGACCCCAACATTACAAATGAAGTGCTTCTTGAAAGATTAAACATAGCATGCACAAATGAAACAGAAAAACAAAACAAAGCATGTGGGTCTGACCGCACTGCTACTGTCAGTTGTGCACAGTTAGGAGAACACTCTTCTGAACTGAAGTGCCATGCTAAACAGATGTAACAAGGTATTTGGTCACAACTAAGGAGTCTCAGTGAGGACATTGCACAAATTAAAGAGACAGTATAGCAACCTGTATCGGAACCTCAGCAATGTCTTGCAGCCTCCAGTCAGAAACCAGAAGCGTCCACAACACAACAATCTTCAAAAGGTCTACCCCAGAGTTACCAGCAGTCACCAGAATGGGGTGTTGCAGTATATGAACAGCCTTGTGGTCTGAGTATAATGCAAAATGATCAGCAGCAAGGGCCCTGTTTAGAAAAAAGACAGCAGCTGTGGAAACAAAATCAGTGTGTTGATGTGTCTCGGCCTCCAGTATTTCAGCCACAGCAAACTCCCACTCCATACCAGTACCCTATGCAGTTCCAGCAGTGCTCTGCATTACAGCAGTACCCAACCAATGCCAAACCGCACCAGTTTCCAGTACTACAGCAACCTTCTCCAGCCCTACTTCCACAGTATACTGCACCACCTCAGTACACTGCCCAGCCTTCGCAGGGTGTAACTCAGGGTCAGTTTCTATTCTTAACAGCCTATGTCAATAATAGTATCTATGAACCACATCTTCATTGAAGAAGGGGCAATGCATCTAAACTGTGGCTTCAATTCACATCCCATTGAGGAACACAAACTATTACTTAAAGCACACTGCAGTCCAACTTGAAAACTCAAAGTCCATGCTAAGCTTGGAGATCAATTCAAAAGCATGTCAGCATGTGAAACAGTCCATGACTTGGAATCAGTTTAAGCATGTAACGATATGAACTAGTCCATACTCAACTTCAAAATCAGCTCAGGAGCATGTGTATATTAACTACAAGTCCATGCTTAACTAAATGTGTCAGTCCCAACGCACATGAACAATAAGAAAGCATCTCTGACTGATGAAATGCCTCTTGTTCTCTAAACAGTCCATAGTCCCCTTTTTTCAGAAAAGGTGCCCTATTACTGTAATAGTCCATGAACACTAGAGCAACTCTCATTTGCTGAACCAGTCTATGTCCATCAATTTACCCTAAACAGTCCATTCTTTCCTAAAGAGGCAGAGGATTGTGGGCTTGTGTACGGGGGCATACATATCACAGGTGTGTACTGGCTGAGCACTGTACTTGTAAGTCTCTCCCTTGCTTAGCTGCAGAGGTTCGATGCAGGGATAGGGACAGTACCCATCATCACTATCACTTTCTTTAATTGTATTTCCAGTAGTCACTGGTTTTCCCCTTTTCTTTTGTGCAGGTTTTTGTCTTCGTTCAGAGATTGGTTCTGGGTTGGGCTTCATTGGTAAGTGTTCGCAGGGCATAAGAAGGTTGCGATGAAATATTCTTGATCTCCCCATACCCTGTTCAGGTTTTATTTCATAAAGGGGCATGTCATCTTCAACTTCACGAATAACAACATGAACACCTTTTTCCCAGTAATTTCTGAGTTTACCTGGACCCCTATATGGAGTCAGGTTCTTTACCAGTATTTGATTTCCAGGCTATAATTCTGTGCATCTCACTTTCATGTCATAGTTCTTTTTGTTTCTCTCCATACCTTTCTTTGTGTGTTCTCTCACTATCTGATACGCTTCCTGCATACCTCGTTTCCACTGTTCCAGGTACTGACTTTGGTTGGTTGTACTTTTGTCAGTTTCCAATCCAAAAAGAGCATCAATGGGGAGTCTGGGGGACCTACCAAATAACAAAAAAAGGAAAAAATCCGGTTGTTTCACTTCTGGTACAGTTATACGCATAGACTGATTTGTTGAGTGACTCTTTCCAATTGGGGATGATATGGGCTTGTTCTTGATCCTGCAACGCCACTATACTTTCTCAACTGTGCAAAGAGCTGGTTTTCGAATTCACCACCTTGGTCGTGGTGTATTCGGGAGGGAAATCCAAATCCAAATCTCAAAACAAAATCATTGAAAAGATGGTCAACCACTGTTTCCCCAGACTTGGATGTTGTAGGATAAGCTTGGGCAAATTGAGTAAAGTGGTCTATTATTACCAGGATATATTCATATCCCCCCTTACCCTTTTCCAGATGAAGAAAATCAATTGAAACAAGTTCAAATGGCTGTGTTGTGACTTTGCTGTTGAGTGGTGCTCTTGTTTCTCAACTTGTTTTTTTTCTGTTTGAGGCAGGTGCATATTCTCAGAACATAGCGCTCAATATCTTTTTGCAGGTGAGGCCAAAAAAGTGCAGCATTTGAAGAACCATGTATCTAAATTTCCCAGGTAATACCAGTTGTGGTTTTCTGCCCTGCTTTGCGGTGAAGCGTACCATTATCATCCAGTACAAGTTTATCCCAGTCCCTCAGGAGACACTTAGTGGCTGTGTTTACTGTACACAGCTGTGGAAAAATGAAGGCTTTGTTCCTGATCGAATATAGTCAATAACTGGTCCTATATCAGTGTCTTTTGCTTGTGCTTGCTGCATCTCCGTCTTTCACAATGGTATGATGGGGGATGTACACAGGTTTTCTTCCCCCACATTTTGGGTGGGCACTGCCATAACCCATGGTATTTTAGAACCTTGCTGTGCTTCAACAGCTTGAACTGTTGCACTCACAGACTCTGATGATAATTCTTCGGTACATTCTCTCATAACATCCTCAATGTCTGTTGGCATCCGAGACAGGGAATCAGCATCAACATTTTCTTTCCCTGGCTGATATCGGAAATGAAAATCGGCTAGCTCAGCAACCCATCGGCAGCCAGTAGTGTTGAGCTTTGCTGATGACACAACATAAGTCAGAGGGTTATTGTTGCTGAATACTGTAAAGGTTGGGGCATAATAGAGGTAATCTCTAAATTTTTCGGTGACTGCCCATTTAAGAGCAAGGAATTCTAGCTTTCCACTATGCAAGTTGTAGTTCTTCTCTGAACCAGTCAAAGTTTTTGAACCATAAGCAATTAACCTTAGTTTGGCGTTTTGCTTCTGATAGAGAACGGCACCTAACCCATCATTAGAGGCGTCGGTGTGAAGAACAAATGGCTGAGAGAAATCGGGAAACCCTAGCATAGGTGGTTGAACCAGGCAGTCAATTAACTTCTCCAGTATTTGTTGATATTCTTTGGTCCAAGTTATTGGCTGCTAAAAGGGTACACCATGATTTTTCAGGTTTCTTTTTTTCTGTTGTATTGCTGATTCTGATTTGCCTCATTGTCTGGTGCTAACTTCAACAGGTCATACAAGGGGTTGGCAGTACATGAGAAATATTTAATATACTGGCGATAGTAACTAAGAAGGCCCAAGATTCTTCTAAAAGGCAAAAGAAGGGGGATGACTTTATTAAGGGTTTTGATGGAGATGTCGGGATGACATCTAATTTTGAAGGGGAGTGTGTGACCTGTTAAAAAAATGCAAATATAACAGCACATTGACTAATTGTTAAAATAATCCCACATCTTAATGGATATTTAAAGATGGTGTTTGTGTGCAATGAGAAATTAGTGTGGTAATAGGAAATATTTAAAGTGTTAATTCTTATTCATGTTCGATACAGTATTTTCTTTATGTATGTGGCAGCTAGCTAGAAGGGAGGATTTGGGGTTGAAGTCTTTTGACCTTTATCAAAGCACCTGTGGGTACCTGTAAAAAACCTGATCTGCTGTCTTTGGGTATTGGCTTATATACTGGATTGAAAAGACTATCGATGATCGATTGCTTATGCCTGTGTCAGCCAAGAGGGGGCGCTCTCGCTGTGCCTCTCTTCATTCGCTATAAAGACAGAGAAGAGAAAGCACAATGGAGAGTTTGTCCTTTAATTATCTTCCCTTTTACAGGTAAAACACACAAAGCATAAACATTTCTTTCTAAGAACAAGTTGAATCCAGTATATAGCCTTACTTAATGTGTGCGTTTTGTATGTATTTAAATATGTTTGTTGTTGTGAGCGGTGAAATGGCTAAGCGAATAAACCTCCCATAGTTAGCAAAAGACCACGAGGCACACTGCGTGCTGCGTCTGATTAAAACAGTGTGTGCGAATGCCAAATACGGTTGGTTAAAAAGTAGTAACCTACATACTTCTGAATGTCAGATTGCAATGGTTGAAACATAGTACTTTACACATTATTGTAGTAGTATTCTGGTTTATAAGAGTTGAATGTGAATGGTTTAGAGGAAGAATAACAATTGACATGTTAAGCCAATCTTTCCTATGACGAGCTTGCCTGTTTTTGTTATGTTTATGTTTTCGTTGATTTCATGATGAAAAGATAAAGAAAGTATGAATGGAAAATACTGAATTTGGCACATTTGTCATTCGAAAGTATGTAAGCATAAACTAGATGTACATCTTATACGACAACGGAGAGTTTGTCCTTTAATTATCTTCCCTTTTACAGGGCTACTACAATTTTGGAGGCACCGCTGGGATGTGCGTAAGGGTTGGCTAAGTCCATACCAGGCAGCAGTCTTCCTTGTCACGCACACCCTTTATAAACACCCAAGCAGCAGCAGATGGGGTAGGAGACTTAGGTGGAGTGAAGTAGCAGCTGACGGAGCAGTGCATGCACTTGAGTACAGGGTGTGCTAGTGCAGCAAAGTCTGTCAGTATTAAAGTCACTACTCACTCACACTGCAAAAATGGATGCACTAATGGAGACTCAAGAGGAAATTGCTGAAATATTGTGCACATTATCCAGAGAGAAGCTCATAGTACTCAGCGGCTTCCTCAGCATTCATAGTGAAGCCTAGCAAGCAGTACAGCCTGTCTCTCGCATCCCGATTAGTAATCATCTTGTGAGGAGGAGCTAGGGGACTTAGAGGACTGTGGCTTGTTGAGCTCTAAGTATTTGGGAAAAGTTGAACGATTGGTGGCTGCTCCTATTATGAACACTGCTGAAGGAGAGTCAATGAGTAGCGAAAAAGAGAAACTCAAACAAGAAATCAGTACATTACAGCAAATATTGAAACAGAAACAGAGTGAAATAGCTGCTCTCATTAAACAACAATAGCTTAACTCATTAAACAACATTTGAAAAGTCTTTCTCTCCAAATGAAAGAAAACAGGCACTTTTTTTTTTTTACAGATAAATCACAGTAAATATTGTACATTTTTATATCAATTAATTTATAATATTTAGCTCTGTCTTTCAGTTTACATTGATTTTGAGTATTGGAAACAGCAGATAGTAAATATGCAACTCAATTTGAAATTAAAAATAAAGCCTATTTTGCTGTATATCTGTTTTAGCACTCAGCATGTATCCGAATGGACAGAAAATCAGTAAAAAAAAATAAAAAATGGCTGTCTTATGCTAATCAATAATAAGCAATAGCATAAGCCACCATCAAAATTCTTGCTTTTTCACTTTTTATTTTTGATTTGTTATCTGTGAAAAATCCCGACCTGCATTAGGCCTCTCTGGCCCAAACTGCCTAAGGCCTTATTCAGCTGTTAGTGCTTGGACCCGCCCATTGCCACTAACAGCTACCTATCCAACGTTCACCTATCCTTAACCCTGACATTAACCTAACCTTCACTCTGGTCTCAAGCCTAAGACTGGTATTAATAATGATTCCCGCACTATTGAGAATTGACCGACTTTCGAAAGACAGTTTGTAGACAATCTACTGAATGCTTTCCAAGTGAACCCCTAGCTAGTGGATGGGAATTGATGAAACTGAGGGAATAAGTTGGGTATGCTTGAGATTACGTGACATATCTGCTTTATGAACATATCATTCAAATCCATGGGAAACATGGACCTGGCCCCCTGTCCAGACAGTTAGTGTTGTCCTCCGACTGTGAAGAACTGTCCAATGAGGTTGCATTACCAGCAGAAAAGACATAGCTTTACGTCTCGGAAGAAGCAGATGTAACAAGGGAAATAGGTAGGGTAACAGTTTATTCAGATAGATCAATGTAATGCTTCAAAGATGCCTTTGCATTTGACTTAAATTCTACTAATTGTCTAAAAAATAGCTTGTTTTACTCTAACCCCAACATCAGTCAAAAACCTAAACAAAGCTTAACTCTTGTCCTAAGCCCATATGGAACACATCTATTCAAAATGTATTTATCAAATACATTTATTGCAATGTATGAAAATTTACCAAACAATGCATTTTTAGATGTATATTTAAATTGCATTTATTTGTATTTGTTATTATTTGTTTCTTTTTAAATTGTGTGCATTTTTGACAAAGGTTACTGGTAGACCTAATTATACAGGAACTGATTGAATGGCACTGATTTTGCATTAGTTATTGTATCTTTATTTTCATATGTATTTCATATGTACATGTATTTTCAAATATAGTTGAAATTTATAATAAATAAAAATATAGGTCCACATACTTTTACGTATTTACTTTTTTTTCCATATAGGAGTCTTAGCTTTGTAAAACTATTAACTCTAGGGTGAAACAATTGTTGGTGCGAAATTTTATGGTCAAACAACTCTGCTTGGGAGTGGAAACCTTACACCATAATTCAATACATCCGAGACAAATACAAAAGTTTTTATCTACCACTATAATTACTATTAAACACATGGCCACGCCTACTGAGTCTGAGCTCACACCCCCCAGAGGATCATAATAAGGTGGCTATTTAAATGCATTCACTTTGGCCTTTAGAGGGCTGAACACTACCGAGCACGCCATGCAGCTCACTTCGATTATAATAATGTTGGAATCATTGCTGTGGTTAACTGGGCTCAGTACAACAACATGTAAAGCGGAGCCGGTCAGCTGCAGGCTGTGGGCTGAGCCTCTGATGCCTAGTCTTTCTATGAATGGAGACTTTATAATAGGGGGGATTTTCTCTATTCATTTCTACACGACATCACAACAGAACACCTACACCAGACAACCACTACAGCCACAGTGCTCTGGAAGGTCTGTCTGTGAGTGTGTAGTGAACAATGTAGGACGAATTACAGAGAAATGATAATGATCAAATTTCCAATTATTGAAATCACACACTCCTTATTGAGTTAATAATGTTTTAATCTTGTGTTTCTGAACAGCATGAGTTTCCGGGAACTGCGCTTCGCTCGTGCCATGGAGTTCACCATCCACGAGATCAACAACAGAACAGATCTCCTGCCGGGAATCACGTTAGGATACCAGATACACGACTCATGTGGTGCAGTGTCGATGGCAATCAAAGCTGCATTTCAGTTTGCAAACGGCATGGAACAATTTTTCAATGATACTGATTCCTGTTTAAGATCTGCGGCCGCTGCTGTACCTGCTCTCGTGGGGGATTCTAATTCCACCCCATCTATCAGTATGGCCAGAATACTGGGTCTTTTTGGAATTCCACAGGTGATTGTAGGCTAGTACCACACTAACCAGTGCATTTTGAAACATATATCAATTTTAGTACGTTATAATTTAGGCCGTATAATATCTCATAAATGACCACAAGAATTCTTTGAAGCGTATCAATAACAAATAACACTTCTTTCTACTTGTCTGTACTGAATAACAGGTGAGTCACTACGCAACCTGCGCATGTCTGAGCGATAAGCTTCAGTATCCTGCCTTCTTCAGGACCGTGCCTAGTGACCATCACCAAGCGGCTGCACTAGCGAAAATGGTCAAGCATTTTGGCTGGACATGGATTGGGGCAGTGCGCAGTGACTCAGACTATGGTAATAATGGAATGGCGGCGTTTCTAAAGGCTGCGCAGGAGGAGGGCATCTGTGTGGAGTACTCCGAGTCCTACTACAGAACACAACCGCGCAGTAAACTGGAGAGAGTGGCAAACGTCATCCGCAGATCAACAGCCCGGGTAATAGTAGCGTTTCTTGCCGCAGGCGAAATGAGGCTTCTGTTAGAAGAACTGGCGAGACAGCCGCCGCCTCCCCTTCAGTGGATCGGCAGCGAAGCCTGGATTATAGAAACAGAGTTTCTGCGCTTTAACATGTGCGCTGGGGCGATAGGTTTTGGGGTCCCCCGCTCAGTGATTCCAGGTCTTCGTGAGTTTCTTCTGGATCTCTCTCCAGAACAAGCACTGAAATCACCTTTGCTAACGGAGTTTTGGGAGAGCTCGTTCAGCTGTCGCTTAAAGGGCTCCTCAGAGGGCGCGCGGGAATGTGACGGCAGCGAGGACATCCGCGCGCTGCAGAACCCATATACAGACATTTACACAACGTCTAACATGGTGTACGAAGCTACGTATGCCATAGCGCATGCCATCCACGGTGTTATCTGTAATGACACGCAGTGTGACAAGAGCGCACAATTCACACCATGGCAGGTAAAACTGCTGCAAAACAGCCCCCAATTAAAAATGAAATAAGTATGATTTTACCGTACAATTGTCATTCTGATACTTGTATATTAAAGAGGCTATTTGGGCGATTCTATCAATTGGATTTTAGTCTTTTACAAAAGCTAAAAATATGGAAAAAATTACTTCCTTGACAACAAAGTTCTCACATATATATATATATATATATATATATATTAGTCTTTGTGACTCCACTGCTGTATGGTGCCTTTTCTTGCAGAACATGGGTAAAAAGAACATTAAAATACTTTGAAAACTATTATTCAGCATAGGTTCTTACTGGTTAATTTAACAATAAAACTAATGAGAAAATAACAAGACAATACATAGAAACAATTAATAATATTTTACAGTTTAAAATCACTGTTCCTTTCACAGTTCCTGTCAAATTATATGTTCCACTGCAGATACTCGAGCAGCTCAAGAGAGTGAACTTCACTACAAAGGATGGTTATCAGGTCTCGTTTGATTCCAGTGGTGATCCTGTTGCCGTCTACGAGCTCATAAACTGGCAGGTTAAGAAAGATGGTGGTTTGGATTTTGTGACTGTGGGTCACTATGACTCATCCAGACCAAGAGGCCAGGAGTTCAGTATGAGCAGAGCTATCAGCTGGGTGGGAGGACAGACTGAGGTACTTAAAAAACTCTCTTTCCATGCACTGTAAACTTGGTGCACAGCTCAAATTAATTAAGGCAATAATGTTACGCACACGCACACACACACACACACACACACACACACACACACATAAACACAAACGTACATTGACAATTGACAACTTTTATTAGTCGACTAGTTATTGCAAAAGTAGTCCACTCCTTGTAATTACCGTTGCTAAAGTAGAAAATTGGAAGGTCGCTATTATTTATTTATTTATTTAGTGCAGTTGAAGTTTGATTGAGAACAACAACTCCAAGCTAAAGAAGTCCTTCATTAAATATTTTGTGGCGAAAATTTTGTAAAATTAATTTAGTACCACTAACTAAAAAGAAAAACAGTTTAATAACACACACACACACACACACACACACACACACACACACACACATCGGGCAGAAAAACAGGCGAAAAAGGCGATAAAATGGCTTTGTCTCATTTACACAATGAGTGCACTTTCCCTTAAAAATCACACAAACAGGCCGCAAAACACATTTTACTAGATAAATGACAATAAATGTGACAAATATTATTATAAAATTAATAAAATTAAGCTATGTCTTTGTTTACATTGATTTTGTGTATCACAGTTTTAGCACTCAGCATGAATCCAAGAACACAGAAAATCAATAAAAAACGTTTGCCTTATGCTAAGAGTTTATTTTTGCTCATACTAACTAATAGAATTATTGTACTTTCAGCGCACAGCAGACTAACAATGTCTGAAAAGGTATCTGAGGTGCCACTTGTTTTTAAGATCTCTATAAGCAAAAAGTTACAAAATTTTCAGGCGCTAAGAAAATTTTTTTATCAGCAATGATCAAAATTCATAAAGATACCAAGTTTCCAGAGTAGCGCGGGGTCTCCTGAAAATAACAACATGTGGCCTGTGTGACTGTCACAAGTAAATACTTTGTAATTGTAATTGCCCCAAAATACCAAAGAAAAACAATTCCCAAAAAATTGAGTTCTACGGGCTAGTAAACACTGGCGTCAAAGAAAACTAGACTGCTCTTTATATAAGTTTACTTTATAATTGGTATCAATGAGATTTTCAAAGAATTTGTACCTTGTCTCTGTGTAAGTAGGTGCTACAGCCGATTGGTTACCCTTATAGAATTAATACTGATCGCAAAGGTAACACAAAATGCCATCATGGATAGCTTAGTAAGTATCTGTTAAAACAAGTTTTATCCTGAAGATGTTTCAACCTCAAATTACAATTACATCATCATGACTAAAGAAAATTGAGAAATTAGGTATGGAACCGAAACCTGAAAATCCATTAAAATGCTTTTACTTTTTTCATAAGATATCATACAAAAAAGCCATTCAAATATTATTAAGTTGTCAATTTATCAAACATGGAAAGTTCCTTTAAGATAAAATTGCAAAGAGGACTCTACTAAATTAAAAATGACCAAATTTGCATAAAAAATAAATACATCATTTAAAACACTGAATATATTTACCTCAGTATGATTGGTGAATATATATTATGTTTTTTAAAACTCAATCCATTTAAAGAATTTCAACAATGCCATTAAGTGTTAACCAAGAAAAATGTTCATTTATGCAAATTATTGTGAATTATTGGGTATTATTATTATTATTATTATTATTATTATTATTATTATTATAGAAAAGCTGTGAATGATTTGCACTTGTCTCATACATTGTAGGTGCCAAGATCTGTGTGCAGTGAGAGCTGTCCTCCAGGAACCAGGAAGGCTGTGCAGAAAGGAAAGCCAGTCTGCTGCTATGACTGTATACCATGCACAGAAGGAGAGATCAGTAACAGGACAGGTTACGTATCACAATACAGAATGATGGGGACAGCTATAATTTATTTAATTATTTTGTCATTCTCTTACAGTTCTATCTACAGTTGAAAGTATATTTTTCTAATCTCTCAGACTCTTTGAATTGTGTTCCTTGCCCTCCTGAGTTCTGGCCCAATGCCCAGCGAGACAGCTGCCTCCCTAAGCCTGTGGAGTTCCTTTCCTGGGACGACACTCTGAGCATCATCTTGACAGTGTCCTCCACCACTGGGGCCTTCATAGCTGTATGTGTGGCTGCTGTCTTCTACAAACACAGAACTTCTCCCATTGTCCGAGCAAACAACTCAGAGCTGAGCTTCCTGCTGCTCTTCTCACTGACTCTGTGTTTCCTCTGCTCACTTACTTTCATTGGTCGGCCCTCTGATTGGTCCTGTATGCTGCGCCACACAGCGTTTGGGATCACCTTCGTCCTCTGCATCTCCTGTGTTCTAATGAAAACAATAGTGGTGTTAATGGCCTTCAGAGCTACACTTCCAGGCAGTAATGCCATGAAATGGTTTGGGCCTCCACAGCAGAGACTCAGTGTTCTCACCTTCACTCTCATACAGGTCCTTATTTGTGTGCTTTGGTTGACAACATCTCCTCCTCTCCCCTTCAAAAATCTAAAACAATACAAGGAAAGGATAATACTGGAATGTGGATTAGGTTCATCTATAGGTTTCTG